GCCGGGAGGGGGGGGGGGGTGTCGACCCCCCCCCCGGGTCAGATACGACGCCCCCCCCTGGGACTCCTCTTCCCCTGGGCTCCAGCCAAGCCGACCTTGAGCAACCTCGTAATTGAGTCGAAGGGAAGCCCCTTCCCTTTGATCCCTCCCCCGCCGGGAGGGGGGGGGGGTGCGACCCCCCCCCCGGGTCAGATACGACGCCCCCCCCTGGGACTCCTCTTCCCCTGGGCTCCAGCCAAGCCGACCTTGAGCAACCTCGTAATTGAGTCGAAGGGAAGCCCCTTCCCTTTGATCCCTCCCCCGCCGGGAGGGGGGGGGGGGTCGACCCCCCCCCCGGGTCAGATACGACGCCCCCCCCTGGGACTCCTCTTCCCCTGGGCTCCAGCCAAGCCGACCTTGAGCAACCTCGTAATTGAGTCGAAGGGAAGCCCCTTCCCTTTGATCCCTCCCCCGCCGGGAGGGGGGGGGGGTGTCGACCCCCCCCCCGGGTCAGATACGACGCCCCCCCCTGGGACTCCTCTTCCCCTGGGCTCCAGCCAAGCCGACCTTGAGCAACCTCGTAATTGAGTCGAAGGGAAGCCCCTTCCCTTTGATCCCTCCCCCGCCGGGAGGGGGGGGGGGTGTCGACCCCCCCCCCGGGTCAGATACGACGCCCCCCCCTGGGACTCCTCTTCCCCTGGGCTCCAGCCAAGCCGACCTTGAGCAACCTCGTAATTGAGTCGAAGGGAAGCCCCTTCCCTTTGATCCCTCCCCCGCCGGGAGGGGGGGGGGGGGGGGTCGACCCCCCCCGGGTCAGATACGACGCCCCCCCCTGGGACTCCCTCCCCTTCCCCTGGGCTCCAGCCAAGCCGACCTTGAGCAACCTCGTAATTGAGTCGAAGGGAAAGCCCCTTCCCTTTGATCCCCCCCCCGCCGGGCGGGGGGGGGGGGGTCGACCCCCCCCCCGGGTCAGATACGACGCCCCCCCCTGGGACTCCTCTTCCCATGGGCTCCAGCCAAGCCGACCTTGAGCAACCTCGTAATCTCTTGCTGCGCATTGCGAACAGGGTCGGCGGCACCGGCCGTCAGGCCTTCGCAATATGGTCGGGACGCACCCTGGGCGAGGACCACGGAGTAGCGGTATTCATACCCATCGGTCGGAAGAAGTAGGTAGAAACATGAGGTAGGAGGCGTTGAAAATAGATTGGGTGTCCGCCCGCCCATCAAGGAGGACGGGAAAGGTGAAGCCACTCGATCATTGAAGTAGGATGGCGCTTAGAGCAGTTTGGAATCTGGAACTCGACGACCGATAGGTAGCGGTATCCGTACCTTTGGTTTCCCCAGCGCTCGGCCGCCGGTCCCTCCCAACGGCACGGCGGCCCTCCCAGGCGCTCTTCGTCCTCTCTGGGGCTCCCGGAGGCGCCACGGATGGATCCGCCCCGAGAAGCGGTGCAGGATGGACCCCAGACGCAGCTGGATCCGCCTCGAAAAACCGGGAAGGATGGACCCCGAGATCGTGGTCGATCGTCGGTCCTCGTCGTCGTCGGCATCCTGGGGTGGGTCGTCGCCGTCGTCGTCGTCAGCCCTCGTCGCCGTCGGTCCCCGTCGTTGGCCATCGGCCTTCGCCAGAAGGAGGAGAAGGACACGAAGGAGGAGGAGGAGGAGGCGGAGGAGGAGGGAGGGAGGAGGGGGAGGAGGAGGAGGACGAGGACGAGGAAGAGGAGGAGGGATGAGGCAGAAGGATGGAAGGGGAGAAAGGAGCAGGAGGGAGCAGAAGAGCAGAGCGGAGTGGCGTGGGGCCAAGCGGGGGAGGACAAGAGAGCGGCTACGCTGAAGGGGCCCTGGGACACACAGATAACTAGACACACATAACAGGATTCCCCATATTTTCTGGGCTTTTGCCTTCCCCCCACTTCCCACATTTTCCCACATTCTCTGGGGCATCGACGATTGATTGTGTCTGAGTGTTTTTGTTTCCCCTACTGATACGCGCTCGACCACGAAACCTCCTCGCCTCACACGGGCCCTCGACCCTCGGCGGTGCACCTCGGCCTCCGCGGGGGCGGCCCTCCCTGCTGCTCGGCGGCCCCCGGGCGAGCTCCGGCGCTCTGCTGCACGAGAGCTGTGTGGGCGGCCGCGCGCTCGGCACGGGAGGCACGAGCGAACGCCCGAGCAACGGCTAGGGGGCCACGTGCGAGCCCTGCCCCTACCCCCCACGAGTTCTGAGGGGGAGGGTGGGGTTCACTTCGCTCGGGAGCTCCCGATCAAAGTGGACCACACCCTCCCCCTCAGAAATCGTGGGGGTTCGCACGTGGCCCCCTGACGGAGCGGAGGGGAGCGGGAACAAAACAGGGAGAGAGAGAGAGAGGGCCGACCGCGCCGCGCCCTCTGACGCGGCGCGCAGCCCGGCGCCAACGTACCCCCCCCCCCCTTTCCGAGAGGCTCCTGCAGGCCGGAGGCGGGGCGCCGAAGCGCGCCCGGGCGGCGGCCCGGAGGCTCCGCGCGGAGGCGCGGGGCAACGCGGGCTTGGCGGTGGGAGGCCAGCGTGCCACATCGGTCTCCGAGATGTGCGCCGCATCCCTGCGAGGCGATCCCCCCGCGAGGGCTCCCCCCCCTGCCAGGGGCTTCTTCGGTGGGCCGACGGCGCCACCTCGCACGCCATCTCTCCACCCCCAGACCGCAGGGGAGGCGGGGACAACCCACGAACAACAAGTTCGAGCCCTGCGGCGCCGCGTGCCCCACGGGACCCCATCAAATAACGGGGAGCGACGCTTCCATGGGCTTACTGGGTACAAGGACGGGGACGAAGAGAACGGGGGCGAGTACGAGGAGGAATGCGGAGATGACGACGACGACGACGACGACGACGACGACGACGACGACGACGGAGAACAGTAAGAGGCAATTGGAGAACGACGTTGAATCAGGAGAGGGGCCTGGTGACCCTATCGGGCTACCATGGGAGGTGCTCCGCAGGACCCCGCAAAACTAATCCGCCACCGTGCCTTGTGCACGTGGAGGCGCGGAAGAATGCCAAGGTCTGTCTGGTAGGGCTTTTTTTTGTATTCTACTGAGGGATCCGCCCCCCCCCATCTGCCCGCGTCGACCTGCCTGCACCGCCCGCCCCCCTCTCCTCCCGAGGCTCCCTGGGCTACGAAATCCCTCGAACAAAAACACAATTGGCAAGCGTCCCGAGCTTCTCGGACGGCCCAGCCAAGAAACCAGGGCCGCCAAGATGACCCTAGATACCTGGAAGACGGCTCAAGACAGTCCCAAAGTCGGCCCAAGAACGCCGGCAAGATGACCCTGGTTACCCCGAAGACGGCCCCAAGAGGGTCCCGAAGGCGGCCCAAGAGGGGCTCAAGACGACCCAGGAGATGGAGGGCAACACACGATGTAGGGGGCCTGAGGCTTGAGTGGGCAGAGATAATCGAACCCGAAAACCATCACCCCTTCTAAAAGAAGTATTGATTTCGGGGGCGGGGGGTGATGAGAATCCCCTCAAGTGCGTGTGAGAGTTCGAGAATATTGTTTGTCTGTCAATCCACTGGACCAGCTCAAGAGGGGGCGGCGGAACATCGAAATGAAATCGGCCATACATTGCCGACAGATCGGCGATAGGCACCCGGTGAGGAGAATCCACCTGTTCCTGGGCGGCGTGGGCTGTTGGGCCCCCATCGGCAGCGAATGGGCGATCGAGAGCAGATGTACCCCCCCGCCCGAGTCTACCCCGACCGCAGCGTTGCCCCTGAAGATGGTGTGCGGCGCGCCACGAAGGCAGATCCGCTCAACATCTCTCCCTGGACCCCTCCAGGAATCGGAGGGGTCCGGGGATAGATGTTCTGCGGATATGCTCTCGCCCCCCCATCTTGACCGATTTTCTCGGGGCCCGTCCAGTTCAGACCCCCAGGCCATCAAATCGAGGACTCCCAAACTCCCACAAAGGGGGTCCGATTAGATGGCGTCGGAGGACCACGCAGCATCGCCGATGCATCTGCTCTACCCCCATCTGGGAGGCCTAGAAGACAGGGCGGCGAAAGCGGGCCCCTTCGACATGGCTGGAGGCGGCTCGAATAGCTGGTCAGTTTCGATTCCGGGAGGGGTCCAGGGAGAGATGTTGAGCGGATTTGCCTTCGTGGCGCGCCGCACACCATCTTCAGGGGCAACGTTGCGGTCGGGGTAGACTCAGGCGGGGGAGTACATCTGATCTCGATCGCCTACGCCGCCCAGGAACAAGTGGATTCTCCCCATCGGGGGCCTATCGCCGATCTATCGGCGATTCGATGTTTCCCCCCCCCTCTTGGGCTGGCCCAGTAGGCAGAGAATATTTTCGAACTCTTACACACTTAAATTGGGTAATCATCACCCCCCGCCCCCGAAATCAATGTTTTATTTAAGTATGGGTGACGGTTTTCGGGTTCGATAAGTTCTGTGCACTCAAGTCCCCTACAGCTTGTGTTGCCCTCCATATCCTGGTTCGTCTTGAGCCCGTCTTGGGCCGCCTTTGGGGCCCTTTTGGGCCGTCTTCGAAGCATCTTGGGCCACTTTGGCGGCCATGGCGGTATCTTGGGCCGTCTTCGTCGCCTCCAACCCCGTCTGCTCGGACCCGGCCTGGGAGGCCTGGATCGGGGATCTACTGACCCGGCTCCATCCAGACCTGGGTCAATCAGGCCGTGCAAGATCCTGCAAGATCCTCCAGTGTCCTGCGGCATCCTGCACCCAAGCCAGGGTCCATGCAACCCTGGCTCTGCAAGATCCTGCAATATCTGGCGCTCTGACTGATCCCCGTTTGCATCAGGTCGGGCGTGTCCCCATACAGGCGGATATGAAAGCAAAATATAACATTGTATACAAAATCAATAATCATGTTCCTCATGTACAGGGACATGCCCGACTTAACCTGCGCATCGACCCCCGTGAGTGGATGGGGCCACCTCCGCCCAGGCCTGTGCGGCTCCAGGCCCAGGCACGGCCGCCTGCGAGGGCCAGGCGCGCGGAGAGAGACGCAGGGGGCGGCGCGCCACGAGCTCGAAGCCGTTCTGCATGAGGGAATGCAGGTCGATGGACTCCTTAGGGGTTCTGTGCCGGGTCCTCCCCCTCCTCCTCCTCATCATCATCATCTCTCCTCCTCCTCCTCCTCCCTTCTCTTCCACCTCTTCCTCCTCCTC